ACCCCCCTATAACACTGTTGATTTTTCCGTTTTATATGAATTCTATGTTGTACGAGTCACTTAGATTTTATAAATACGTGAGCTGTTCACAGTCCGGCACACGTATTTGTAAAATCTAAGTGACTCGTACAACACGGAATTCATATAAAACGGTAAAATCAACAGTGTTATAGGGGGGGTCGATTGTAATCAATTAAGCATGGTTCTAGATTCAGCTCACTGTAAATTAATTATTTTCTTTCTTGTTTTTTTTTTTTTGTAAAATTTTTAGTACTGAAACACTAATAAAAAGCTAGAACCAGTCTATATTAAAAGATTATCAGCAAAAAACCTTTCTCACTAATTTCTAGCCGTATTAACAGGAATAATTAGTGAGAAAGGTTTTGTGCTGATAATCTTAGAAATAGTTCTAGCTACATATGCATAGTAGTATATTAAAAGACACCTTTCATACCTTTTCCAGCACCATTCCTTTATTAAAATAAACATTTTCAATCACTTTCAGGAGCCAGCATCACATTGTATTCATTGAAACCTGATTCTGGCTCCTAAAAGTGGCCAAAAACATTTGTTTGAATAAAGGTGCTGGAAAAGGTGGAAGATATCTTTTAATATTTTTATTACTATCTTTAAAACTTTATAAAGAAACTGAATAACAAATCTGTAAATACTAGTATACAACTTATAAAAACACTATATCTATATATATTTTATTACATAAACCTTTAATTCAAGACATGATTATAGGTATATATCTATAATTATGTCTTAAATTATGTAAATTCATATAGTGACTTAGTGGTCATTTTTGACAATAAATTGACCTTTAAAGGTCATAGAGAAAAAATTGCTAAGTCTATCACAATACACCAAGATATTTTATGGTGTTTTTGCAGACCGATATCCTCAAAAACTGTACTAAGGTTGATTTTCTTTATGAACTTTCAGTCTTTAATCAACTACTGTTATCAATCTGGACAATGACTGCCCCTTCTGTACTAAACAAAGTTATTAATGAAATAAAAAAAGTATAATTCTTTCTGAACAAAGTTTGCTGTCTATCATATGCTAATAATGCTGAAGTCGCAAAAGTCAGACTGGGATTACCTGATTTCAATGAAAGGGTCAAATACTTCAATCATATTTTAACTTATAAATATTTTATTGGCATAATACCCAATTATGCCATTAAAATATTATTTGCTAAAACTGAAAGTTTCTTCCAGGAAAACTCGATTGCTATCATGTCTACATACTCCTTTTTATCAATCAATGGGTTGATATTCATGCCAAATACTGTATAGTAGGACAGAGAAATCACTGAGATCAGTGTTACGATGATGACGACATTAGGATTGTCGAAAGTACTTGCGATAAATGCACATATAATGCCAATCTCAATGATTTCTCCATCCTACTATCCTTTTTATTGATTATCACTATCTCATAGACCTTTCTTTTATCATTCCATTGATTACGTGTCTCCTATTGAACATCACCTTCATCATATATTTACAAAATACAAACACTTACGCTAATGATTTCTATATAATCTGCGATTTTGTTTTGTCCTCATATCATTATGTCTTTGCTTTTTTCTTTTTTTTTATGTATTTCTTGTTGTTATATAATTTTTATTGTATTTATTTATGTTGTTAATTTTAATTACATTTTATTGTAATCTTGGGTAATTTTGTTATATGGAGGTGGAAATCTATTGTCCATTGACAGTTCCAATTAAATATAAAAATTACATATCTGAAAATGAATACAGTAAGGCCTCATTTTATGTTTTCTCTTTTCATAAAGATTGTCATTAATGAACAATTTGAAATCAATAGAAAAAAGTCAAAACAAGAGAAGACAACAAAAACAAAAACAGAAATACAATGTGTCAGCAGTGTAATATTGTTAAGAAAAACTAAATTGCTAGAAGGCATGTGATTGTCCAATATGTTTGTCGCTTGCTTTCCCATAGACTTACCATTATATTTTTGCCACCCCTACATGTGAGCAATTGCACCTTTCTCAAATCTCTTTGGTAGTCCCAGCCATTTACTCAAACTAAGTCAAACAAACTGAAACTCTCTTTCAATTAATATGTATATTTATAACTTTTTTCTTGTTTTATTTATAAATAACCTATTATTTATGTTAAATAATTATAAAAGAACTATAATTCTTTATTAAAATTTTAAAAATTAACTTTTTAATTGAGTTTAGTAGACAGTTTTCATACTGAAGGAACTAATCTCATTTAAATATATTACAATTTTGACTCAATTTACAAAAAATTTACTTTATAGCTGGGAAGTTAATCATTCATAAAACAAGATTTTATCAATTTTAAACACTTAAATTTATATTATTTTAAATACTTAAAATATTTCATCATAAAAATTGTTCCCATGAATAAAAATTTTCAAATTTTAACATTGTGAATTTCATTAAAAACCAAAATCAAAATTTATTCTTTGAAATATATACTTACATTAAAATATATTATCATATTATATAAATTCATAATTAAATAACTACAGATTAATTATAAATTATGCTATGTTTTTAGCTAAATTTTAAGTATAAGTTTGCTTATTAATTATAAAATTAATTAAAATCAATTTTCATTCTTATTAACTTATAATTATTATTATAAATTTATTGATTAATGCAAGGCATCAACATATTAAGGCAAACCAAAAATCTAAATAATGGATTTTTTCTAGAATTTAGATATTTGGCTATTAATTCTTTCTGGGCTGGAGGTTAGCCCTTGCAAATCGGTTAGTTTTTTGATTATTAATTTCATAAATGACAAATTTATAACTTGATCATGATATTTATCATAATCAAGTTATAAAAAAATATATATATATAATTATTTACTTAAATCAAAATTATAACCTTTTAATAGAAATTTTATATTTTTAAAATATTATTTAAATTACCTGTCAAAACAATGGTGTGATTTCCTCCACAAGATACTGATAACATTTTTCCAGTGAGTCCAGTGACAGGTTGTGGTTTAGGTAACTTTTTAAGTTGAGTTTCTGTAAGCCCTAATTTTCCACCTTCACTTTCTCCAAAAGTATATACTTTACCATCACCTAATAATATGAATAAAGTAAATAAACAAACAAACATGAAAATATTACAGTAAAACCTGCAAAAGGAATACAATGGGACTATTTTGTGTTTCTATGTCTCGTAGGTTTTCTGCCATTGATGGGATATAATCTTAACCCTTTTGTATTGCTTTCTATTGCCTATACAAATGCCCTGAAAATGTCTCTCTATGCTTTCATGAAATTTGATGAAAAAAATAAGTCTTTTACAATTTAAATATATTTATTAAAATTGCATTTATCAGAGATGTCTGCATACATTATACAGATTTTATATGTAATTAAATAAGTGGGCAAAGTTTAATTTTTAATAAAACAATCTAATATCAATGAGCATCAGTCAAAACAATCCTTAATACAATAGGCCCCAGACTGAAAAACAGCAAGTATAAAGTGAATAATCTTCCAAAATTCTTAATTTTGGAAGATTAGTCTAACCTAACCTCCACCTTATGTTTCTAGAACAATTATCACATATTAGGAAATAAACTTTTAAACTTTCAAAAATAAATGAACATGATGAAAATATCATAGACAGAGCATAAGTGTAGATTGTATTCAAATGTAATTTTCCCCTTTGTTAATCCCATAAAAACTAAATTCAGTTAATTCTATTTTTTTATTGTTAGTATAGCTTTCCTCTTTCTTTTCTTTTTTACATTCACTTGTTATAATTTGCAGAAACCTTTAAGCTTATTATGGATTTTATCAATTGCAGAACTATGTTTATTTTCTTATTAATTTCATTGTTTATACAAAAATATAGTTAGACAAGTTTCCAGCTTTTGCATCTATACTTCACAATATTAGGGTTGCAACAGCATGATTTTTTCATTTTGTCCATCTCATAGGTTCTAGCTTTCAGAGAACATGTTAAGTAAATGTAATTGTTTTACAAAAAAAAATTTTAATTTAAATCCATTTGAAATCTGTTCATTTTTAATTACTGCCTGAGGATGACATTCATATCTATGTCAAAAGTGTTAGCTGGAAATTAAAAGTGTTCCTTAAAACTCTCCTTAATGTCTTTGGTGTAAATTTTCACTTGAGTTACAACAATTGTTGGTGTGACATCCACAGTACATGTGTAAATTGTTTTACTGAAAAATATTTGCACTTTCCATCTCTGGAAGTTTCCACATTACTCAAGTTCCAGCTTTCACAGATTTTACTGTATTACAAAAACTTTAAATATTATATATACAATAATTAATTAATATGCATCAATGTCCTTAATTCAACTAGTTATTCTTTTAATCACCATAACAGAAGAGGGACAAACAGGTCCGAAACGCAATTTGTATGTGTCCAGGTAATTGTAAATAAAACAATTTTAATCTGTGTGACTGAGTTGCTGTAATCTTATACACCAGTATAATAAGTCCTATTAATAGAAATACACTGTTATGGTGATTAAAAGAATAACTAGTTGAATTAAGGACAGTGATGCATATTAATTAAATATAATTGTAGTTTTTGATGTAATGCTGACAGTTTCACAGTTTTAGAATAAAAACTTGTTCATTTTTGTCACATAACTTATTTGTTTTTTTTAATATTCCCTCTAGAGAGGAATATATAACCTCACTTAAACCAGCATGTTGGTTTTACCATAAGGAAATATCTGAATACCTGCATGCTGGTCATTTTGCATAAATATAGTAACTTATTAATAACTAACTAGAATATTATTTATGATAAATTTTCAATTACACAAAATGTTTCAAAATCAAGCCACAGACTGAACAGTGACAATTGGCAAGATTTTCAGTTTTGATACCCGCTGTGGATACTGGCTGGTATTGATACTTTAATACTCGTGATACCAGTCTCGTGAGTAGTTTTAAAGATCAATATCAATATCAGTATCGATACTTTAAAACTACTCGTGATACTTGTATCAATACTTTTGTGATATCAAGATATCATTAGCTATGGTTGGTGATGGAAGATCATAGAATAACACTCAGAGAGGTGTGAAAGAAGTGGGCATTTTGTATAATCCAGTTTACTGACAATCTTGGCATATGTTGAGTTGTGGTAAAATTCATTCTAAAGCTCTCAGTCATGACTATATACATTAAAACAAAAAATATATATATATAT